CTTTCTCAAGAACGTTGGGAACTTGAAGAAAGCAGTAAGACCGAGAAACCTACAATAAGCAACTGGAAGACTGATGTCAAAATTTACTAGGTTTACTTGACCAGCACATTCTATATACTGACTCTGCAGGGGCGGGGGGGGGGAACAAACCAAAAGAAAGTTATGATGAATCTGTAGTTCTCTGCAATTTGAAATAAGCCCCTGAAACTAGAAAAGATGTCCTTACGAGACTGCATGCTTGAATGCATCATAAGCACCGTATCCTGGTCTTTTGTACTTGTCATCAAATACCCAGGCAGTTCTCTGGAACAGACTCTCAAGCTGCTCATCCTTAGTGTACTCCAAGACTTCAGCAACATGGCGAAGGATGCTGTAAACCTGAAACACAGAAGGAGTGTTAAAAAACTCAAATACCAAAACCAGACAAAAATTTATAACCAAAAGTAATATTTAATGGTAAGCCTTCTACTCAGAAGTGTAAGACCACACAGTAGTAGGGGTGGGAGTCGATGCCTTAAACTATCTTCGTGCCTTTTCAATAAAGTTGTCCACAGTGTGCTAAACCAGCATATATTTTTAGATTTCTGATCATTTAAATATACCCCTTTACACCACAGACTTTCAACTGATGTCTTCCTTGATCTATACATTAAGAAGCAGCTTACCAGAGCACTCGTGGACAGATGAACCGATTATACATATTTGCATGGATAAATGAGAATCAGAGTGTGCCTAATAAATGAGAATACTTTATTTTCATATTATCTTATGTCTGTGCATTTTGATTGCTCGGGAAAGAAGCTGGAAATACACAGTGCAGAACAACTTACAGTCTTCGATTTTGTGAACTTGTCTTCACATTTGATTGCCTCCTCTGGTGAAACTCTTCTTTTTGACAAGTCAATATAACCTATTGGGGAAAATAATTTTGAAAGCGTCAGACATTGTGCAAACTAAGTCTAACTGCTTCAAAAGAAATGCATAAAGAATAAACACTGGCTCAGGATTTGCCCCTTGCCTACACTATCCCTAGGTGTTGCTACAGAAAGTAACAAAACCAAACTTTAATGAATTTGATCAAATTATGATCCAAATTGGGATATTAAATTATTATTTCAAGTACTTACAATAGCAAATCTTTTGTACAGCATTCTCTAAAATTACTGCCTTAATGTTTTCTCTGCAAATTTAGAATAAATTTCCATAGCATTTCTGCAATCAGTGATCCATTTTTATGTTGCTGTACACAGTTTGGGCAAAAATCACACCAGCATACAAACAAGCAAGGTTGATGCGTATTTTTGTAGTGGTCAACTCAACTTCCTTCAGCGTTGGCACTGTGTTGGTTTATCTCTGAATGATTTCCTAATAAAGTAGGCCTAGCCTCTAATTCTGAGTCTAACTCCTTGCATACCCTTTTGGGAGAGCTGTCTGTGAAAAAAATTATTCTGAACTATTTCTTAGCAAATCTGAAAAGGCCTCCACCTTCTTCTCATAAACTGTAGGCTCCCCAAAAGATTCAATAAAAGACCACTACGTGAATTTTAGGCATGTTTCTCTGTTAATATGAGAACGAAATCAATTTGTAAGAGGAAGTATTCTTTCATTAGAGATGCTGGGAAATTTACTTCACTTTAGATCTATCTGAAATAAATTTCTTCTTGTCTTTCTTTCCTCTCTGTTTTTTCTGTCATTCATTACTTATCTCAGAGCTAACTGCAGTTTCAGAAGTATTCTAGAAAAGCATATTACTTGAAGAACATCATACCAACAGTCAGTTTTCTAGATGATGTGCTCAATGTTTATTTATATTATTTCTTTATACCTAGATATAGATTTTAAAGATTGCATGGAACAGTATTATCGAAATCCAACATGTCCTAAACAGAAAATATATTGAAAAATCCCCTTTAGAGTAAGAGAGTCAAACATTCAGAAGATAGGAGAAGACAAAGTTGCCTGTACAAATCTCAACTTGTAACCTACAGAATTCATGTGGTATAATAATTCCATACATGTCATTTATTTTATAGTCAAGGTTCAAGATTTGTTAAGGAGCAGGATGGACTCTGAGAATCAAATGCTCACTGTTTAGATGTTTATCTCTACACCAGATGATTCTCCTCTTCAGTTAAGACTTAGAAAATCTACATAGGTATCAAAGGAAAATTCACTTCACTATGGTTTGTTGATCAAACATTGATCTGGTGAGGACTCACTTAAGCAAATCTTTACTGATGTGATTGACCTTCATTAACCCAATTCCCAAAGGACACAGAGGAACTGAAGAATGATCATAATATGGCACAGTGACGGTTTGTTTTGCTTAAGCACCTTAAAAAAAGAACCCCTGGCAAAACCAATACCTAAGCCGCCCAGTTTATCTGCATTTCTCTCTATTAATTCAATCTTGGTATAGCATATAGTATCACCAAATACCTTTCTCTTTGTCAACTCTTATGACCACGACGCATTCATTCCTCCCAATACGGATAAGTTTGTTTATGGAACGAATACGTCTCCTGGACAGCTCACTGAGAAGGATCATGCCTTCAATGTTGTTGTACTCTAGCAGGCTGACATAGGCTCCCATTTCAGCAATGGACCGAACGTTGACCATCACTACATCTTCCACCTCTGGAAATTTATGCTGGTAGAATCTACAGCTTAGTCCTGGCATTCTGGAATTTGAGCAGAAAGAAACAAAAACTTTATTTAACAGTACACCTCTCTCTTCTCTGACAAACATGGTAAAAAAATCAGCAAGGACTGGTGAGGATATAGAGGAACACTGGCACAAAAAGCTGCAAATTAGGATAAGGCTTGTGCAATTCATACTTAGGTTTTAATAGAAATTAAACAATAAATTAACTAGTATTTTAGTATTACCACAACCATTTGCTAAGATGCAAATTCTTCGCATTGAAGTAGAAAAAGCTTGCTACCCAGACTTCATTATCCACTTCAACTGTCATACTGCCTATAGGTATCTCACTGTAGCAAAGAGACTTCAAATGGTGAAAAGGTGGCACTGCACACCTTGTGTTCATCTACATTCATGAGGCTGTGTAAAATTTTAAATCAGATTTTAGCAACAGGAGGATGTGGTAGAGAAGCAGCCTGCATTGGTCACAAATGTATCTGTATGCACATAATAAGACAGCATGGCTGAGAAACTAAGAGGTAGAGCAAAGCTTTTGTAGTACTAAGAAGAGCAGACTCTACACTCCAGAAGATCACTTTCTACACACAGCACAAGATGTTTGGAGTAATCCTGTAAGACCTGCTCCAGAGGCCAGCTGTCAGCAAAGAAAGCAAAGGCAATAATCAGAACCGAAGATAGAACTAGCCTGACATGAATGAAGCACTAAAGGAATAAGGTACTCCTTAATGTACTGCTAGTCAGGAGGAAAAAAAAACCCTGAAAAACAAGAGGATCCTTTCATTATACAGTGTAAAAACATACAAAATTAATGTTTCATAATGATGTAGCAATATGAGGGAATGCTTCAACTGCTTCATTTTCCTGATGATGAATCTACATACTCATCACCTCTAACCAGGTTAGTTCAATTCCTGTTGTCTGCGCCTAGAAGCTTCATACAGAAAGTTTCCTACAGAAGCAGGAGCCTAAGATGCTGAGTCAAACGCATCACTCATTCAGAAAATTTGTTGTATTCACCATTTTGAAGTTTTACTCTTGATCTCTACAGCAGTGCTAATGCTGTCTAGCGATATGAGAATTTAAAGAGAGAGCAAAATGGCAATGCCAAATGCTACATACACATGGCCATACAATTCAGGAGACTGTGTTCACCCTTATCCCCATTATTTGTTTTCAGAAAGGGGAGATGCAGACTAGTAAAGCATTACAAAAACATGCCTACAAAGGTTTCCTGTAACTTCATATAATTTGAAGCTGATCAATTATCTCCAAGATCAAAAATAAAAACTTTACAGTTCCACTTAATGCAGTTCAGCTCAATCCTACACGCCTATTTATAAGTTGCATAATAAAGATATACTGCCAAGCAACAAACCCCAACCACAGCAGGCAAGAAAGGACAAACGCTGCTCCGCACACAGCGTTCTCGCCTCTCTCCACAGATACAAGCTTTTCATTTCAGCCTTCTGTGCAACTCGCAGGAGCAACGCAGCACCCACAGCGCCAACGCTGGAAATCATCTTTCCAAGGCGTCCGAAACGCCTCAGCAAAGGTTTAAGCCCCCGCGGCTGCACAAGCCTCTGCGGAAACTGGCGAAAATGGAGCCCCTTCTGAGCAGCGGCTCCTCCGCCCGCCGGAGCGCCGCTGACACAGGCGATGCCCGACGACTGCGATGGCACCAGGGGGAGGGGAGCGGCCCCCGGGGCGACCGGCAGCCGCTGCCGGGCCGGGCAAAGCCCGTCTCTAACACAGCGAGGGCGAGAGGCCGCCCGGGCCCACCCCGCCGCCGCGCCGAGGCCCCTCCCGCCGCCGCAGGGCCCACAGCCGCGGCCCGGTCCGGGGAAGCGGGGAGGGTGGGGGAGCCGCGTGGCGGGGCGCGCGCCGCAGCCGCCTAACCTGGAAACGGCCGACGGATCCCGCTCCGCGCTCGCGGCCCGGCCTTCCGCGCTGGCCCCACTCCTGCCTCAGCGTGCGCCGCCCGCCCGCCCCCCCACCCCACTGCGCAGGCGCTCACCCGCCCCGCTCCCGCCCCTCCGCACGCCATTGGCCAGCCGCCTGCTCCCCCCGCCGCCATAGAGACTCAACGCCGCGGCAGAAGACCGCTCCTTGCTTAGAGCGCCCCCCACCCCCCGCCCCCGGGAAAGGGGGCGCTGAGAGCCGCGCGGGCGGACAGACTGGTAGGCCTCCGGGTGGCACAGACTGACCCGGCAGCCAACTACGTTCTCTTCCTTCCCGTTCCCGGGGGACACGTGATCAGAAGCCACACGCTACCGCCCGTCGCGGGGGCGGGGCCGGGATGCGTTGGGGGGGGGGGGGGGGGGGGGGAAGAGGGGGCGCCCGCGCGCGTCACGTGATGACGCCGGGCTCCGCGCGCGTCACGTGACGGCGCGGCGACAGCTGGAGCCGACCCGTCGCCACCATGTCGGGCAAGGACCGCATCGAGATCTTCCCCTCGCGGATGTGAGTGTCCGCCCCGCCGCGAGTGGGGGCGGGCTGAGGGGGCGCCGCCGCCGCCGGGGTGGGAGCGGCGGGGCCCGAAGAGGCCCGGGGCGGAACGGTCGGGTTGGTTGTGTGGCCGCTGCTGCCGCGGCCGCTCTGCGCCGCCAAGGGAGCGGGGGGGGGGTGTCTGTGAGGAACACCTAGAGAAGCAGCTGAAGGCCACGTTTACATCTCAGTTCCTCGTTTCAGGCTCAAAAAGAGCTCTGTCAGCCATCAGAGGGCCATGTCAGGGTCCAGCACCAGAGGCAACCAGCTCCCAGTGGGGGAGGCTATTTTAAAATCATGCAGTTATGCAAACCTTCATTTTAAAAAGAACAACTCGTAGAATGTACGTATAAGAAAAAATGCACATATTGAACCGTCGCTTCCCTTGAGTTTTTAATAGACAATACTGCTGTACAAGAAGCTGTCCATAAAGTGTTAAAAAAGAAGGAAGTAAAATGCATAAAGTGCAGTAAACAGTCAAGTAATTTTCCAGATCCTGACAGCAAACTATTTGTCATGAAGTCAGATGTCTCCTGACGAGGCCTAGAAAGCTGCCAGCATCAGAAGGGACACAAACAATTGAAACTGATGTACTAATTAAATTGCTGATTTAATAATGCTGTTTCAGTTTCTCTTCACAAGCCTCCAGGACAGAAAGATATTGCCTTAAGGTGAAAGGCTGTTTCAAATCTTCTTGCATAAAATTGGGTTGATGCCTGCATGTAGCCTTTATAAAAAGGTGCCTTGCGGGACAGAAAACCTCGAATGTATAGTAATAATTATTCCCCCACATGTGAGCTCAGGACATATGAAATAACAGTTTTTAGGGAAAGATTAATACATTACATAGTAAAGGTTTTGTTTTGAAACTTAGTTCAGAAATAAATTATTGCATATACTGAGTCATCTGGTCTCACTCCTGCCCTTTGATAGTGCTTTTTTCATTCAGTTTACCTGTCCGAGGAGGAGGCACTGATTTTCTGGGCTGATAGGTTATTGTGGCAAGAAAGTGGTGATGTACAAAGGCTTAATATTTACAAGCTCTGTTTCAAATGAGGTAATAGCCCAATGTGGCTGATGTTTTGATAGTAATGTAAGCTAGGATGCTAAAGTAAAGATGGCCTACCTCTGCAACAAATATTTTTGTTAATTGACAGGAAAGAATTTCACAAGGCTGGTTCGGTTTGATTTTCTATCTTTATGAAGTGCCTTGCTGGTATGAGCCTCTTCTGTGCTGGATATCATTAATTACAGAAGCTGCTCAGTCTCCTTGACAGTAAACAAGACTTTGTTTAGTGCATTCTCAGGGCCTGTGAAATCTTGCTTGAACTAGAAGGTTGGCCAGTCTCTGGCAGGCGGTGAACAGAGTGAACAAGTTAGTTCAAGGTGGGGACAGAGACGTGCTTGTTGTGAAAGTAAAGTTGCCTTTTTTACTCTTTGATCTTTTTTTTGTTTAGTTTTTTTTGTTGTTGTTGTTTGTTTTTTTTTTTTTTTTTTTATATATCATAACATTCAGAAAGTATTTGCACTTTTCAGTTACAAGTATTTGGTAGATGTTAATGGGGCTATTCTTATCATATGCCAGTAGATGTGGACAGTAATGGATTCCATTATATAGGTGGAATCTTAATTACACTTAGTTTTTCCAAAGTCAGAGAGGAAGTGTATTAGGCTTCTCTTCACACAGAGTTGACTTCAGTATTGTCCTTTGTGTGTAGTGACTGCGTGTACAAAGTGGTAGCTTAGGTTAGCACAGTTTGTGGTTTTTGTAGCATAGCTCCTGCTATTCTAGTTAACTTAAATAAAAAAGATCATTCAAAATAAAATATACTCCACAGCAGAGAGGGAAGCAAGGTTTGGATCCTTCTTCGGTTCCTAATTCTGTACAAGAAACCTGTAAGTGTGCTACTGGAAGTAAACGATATATAATGCTACAGCTAGCTTACTAATGTCCCTTTTAAACTGGTGCTACTTCTGATTGCCTTAAAAAGCTTGTAAATATCCTGCATAGCATATGAAGATACACAATCACTGTACTTTCTGACTTTCTTTAAACCAGAATGTACGACTGCTGTATCTCATTGCTCTGTAAAATCAGAACACAGCGTCAACAGTTACGATCACATGAGGAATTTGCTGTGTTGTCTGATTTTGAGAAGATGACGTAGCAGTAAAAAGAGCTTAAAAGCGATACCAGTGTCACACTAACAGTGGGCTTTTGCGGTAGTTTGATTCTTGATGACTTAAAAGTACCAGAAAAAATGAAAACTCTTTATTTCTTATTATGGAAGCACTGAAGAATGACATGTCAGTTTTCCATGATCTTTGTCTTCACGGATAATAACCTTGTAATTTTCAGTGTTGATGGATATAAACATAATAAATTCCCTTGATTTTAAATGGGAACATAAAATCCTACCCTGAAGTGGCCATCCTGTTTCATTGCAATGATGTTTCTTGGTTCCTTCTTAATTTCAGTCATGCCCATATCAGAAAATTTTGCATAAGTTTTTTCCTAATCCCTTCAGATGACGCAGGACATTTTTATTTATTCATCTCTTTGTCAGGGCTCAGACCATCATGAAAGCTCGTTTGAAAGGGGCCCAAACAGGTCGTAACCTCTTGAAGAAAAAATCTGATGCTTTGACACTTCGATTCAGGCAGATCCTTAAGAAAATTATTGAGGTAGGTAAATTAGAATTTTTCTGTGTTTGACTCACTTTATTTGAAATCTGTTCTGTCAGTTGTGCATCCCTGTTCTGCTAACTTCATTAAGTAGGCTGAAATGTAGGACAACTTTGTGGATAACCTCTTTTTTGTAAATGAGGCTACTGAGGACAGGTGAGCAGAATTATGTTTTTCTGGTTACAGTGATCTATAAATCTTGTAAGAGTTAATTATTTTTCACCTCTTTTCAATCAGGCCTAGGCTCTGCTTTCTTTTGTGTCCCAAGTTCCCTATCAACTCTACTACATTACAGGGAATTTGCTCTGATGCTCCCAAATACTTTAGGAGTGGATTTGACATGTTCTGTATCCCTGTTTTTGTTGCTTTATCTGGCTTGAGAGGATACTGCAGATCTATAAAGTTTCCTGCATGACTCGGTACACTAGAAAGCAGTTTTGTCCAGGTGGAACTTGTTCCTTTATGAAGAAACACCGGGTCCTGCTTCTTCCTTTGCAACATGAATGACAAACCTAAGATACACAGTAGGGCCTGACATGGCTTGTTCTGTTCTACCAGACTAGATGGGTTTTAGTTGTACTGTTCTGGCTGCAACTGCTACAGCGCCCGTGGTTAGCAGTAGTGCTTTGTTGCTATGCTGTAGATGAGCCCTTGGCACTCTCCATCTTGTTTCCTGTAGGCTGTCTAATACACAAAGGCTCTTGCTTCTCAATAGCATGGTTTTTAGCTATAAGGGCTTCAAACGTGTAAAAATTGGGAAAAAATGGAGGAGAGTGCAGCTTCCCAAAGCCGCATACATCTGTATGTTGAAAAACAACTTCATCTGCCTCATAGTATCCAGTACAAAATGCAGAAAGAGTGTTTTCCCACTAAGCCATTTTATGTGGTTGTGATTTAATGCCCATGTAGTAGAGTTTTGTGATTATTAAGACAGACAAGTCTTCTGCTGTTTCTGTGAGTTCCACACTGAAATAGCTGAAATGTTTCTTTTTTTTTGCTCGTCACCTAGGAATTACAGGTTGCAGTTTGAGAGTCAGCTACACATGCAGGACTTTCTCCCTCCCTTAAATCTCATTCTTCTCTTTATGTTGTTATTTATCCTGGAGGAGGAGCAATGATGTGCCTTGTATTTGCTGCCTCTTTTTGTTTTTTAAACAGACAAAAATGCTGATGGGTGAGGTGATGAGAGAAGCTGCCTTTTCACTTGCTGAGGCAAAGTTTACGGCAGGAGATTTCAGGTGAGGATTGCTGATCTTGCCCATGAGAAAGACCGATCAGGAAATTGATTTCTCTAGTGGAAAAAAAGTAAAATTCTTAAATACACTTTAAAAAGAAAAAAAAAGACAGTGGACAAGGTGGGACAGGATGAATAGAACTCCATTAGGTAAAGGTGGGAGACATCAATGCAAGAGAGAGATAATTTGCATGGTGAAAATGTATATTCCATTGGAAGCTAAAGCAAGTGGAAAGATTAACATAATTTACTTTACACAGAAATCCTTGACTTGAGAAGGTGTTTTTTTCTGCTTGGAATCTAAAATGTAGGGAAACGATAATTTATAGCAGAGTATTGGGCTAATTATTTTGATCTTTCTTGTGAATTTAAGGGCTGTATGTAATGTGTTATTTTCTCTCAGTAAGTCATACAGTAGTTTTACTAATTTTTCTAACCTCTTATCTCATTGACCCCTTGTCTCACTAGGGCTAGTGGGAGCTGTATGTGAGAGGGGAAACAACAAATCTTTATACTCCAGTAGGACATTTTAAAATTGTATTTTAATAAATTACAGCTCTAACTAGGATATTTGGGTAGTTCATTCAAGTGTGCATAGGTCTTGTGAAATGAAGTTGGAAAAGTGTTAATTATTCAGCTGATGGTACTACCGATTAATGGGGAAGAACTAAGTGATCAGACACAGTAGTAACCTGTGTGCTGCTGGAGAAAAGTCTTTTTGCTCTTTCATTTGGATATGGAGCCGTTTCCTGTCCTAACCAGTCACAGTGTTTAGCTATAAACAGTAGTCAAATACTACTCTCTGAGAAAACTGTACTTCAGTAGAAGACTTGGCTATAGTGACCTTGTCTTGGAAGACCTTAAGACACTTTAGAATTCTTCAAGATGAATTGTTGTACAAGCTTAAGTTTGTTAATATGACAGAGTTAGTGGGTAAACAAACTCATAAATGTTCTGAAAGAACAAATACATAGAAACTTAAATGAACAAAATGATATGGCCTTGGTCTGCATTAAAGCCTTGAAATTCCTTCACTTTTATCAGGGAAAAAAGTCTCACAGGTTGATTAGACTCAACATTATTTAAATATTTTCAGGTAAGTTGCCAGATAACTGGCTAGTTTTTAGCTATGCTTTGTTACTTGGTCTAAGGCATTTCTAAAGTTATTCTTCACAGAGTCTGCATCTTTTACATTTCCAAACGTTGTCAGAAACCGAATTCTTTCAAAGCTTCTGCATTACCTTTGAAGTCTGTGCAATGAATTGCATAGAGAACTGACCTGAAGATGATTTCCAAATCTTTACAGCTATTTGATAACTACCTAATCTTGTATATAATGGTAACTTAATGAACCACTTCAACTTACCTGATTAAGATGTATGTTTTCTTCCTTACAGTACCACCGTGATCCAAAATGTGAACAAAGCTCAAGTCAAGATCAGGGCTAAAAAAGATAATGTAGCAGGTGACTCTTTTCCAGACTATTTTACCTCTTAAGGGAATTGTGGAAGGAGACTCTGGAATCTGCAGGAATGTATCCAAACACTGTCTCCTCTTCTTTATTTCCCTTATTCATCTAACAGTAGGAACACTTGTAATTTGTTGGGTTTTTTTCATGTACAGCATATAACTTTTATATTTAGTTATTTACCTCTCGTAAAATTAAATGAGTGTACATAAACTGCAGTCCCAATTTCTAGATCTTTGGACAAAGCATAACTTCCATAAGGATTTACTGAAAAATAGATCAGGAAATTAAGTATCACAAATTAACTGTTTCAGGAAATTAAGTATCAATAATTGTCTATGAAGAAAACGATAAAGATACATCAGGATTGAATGCCTAAAATATTCCTTAAGCACAGGGAATACGTTACTAAACAAAAACATAATAAAACTGAACACTGAATAAACTGGAGTATTTCCCTGTATTTTTCATGTGTCTAGATCTCTGATCTCAATACAATTCTGAAGTTCCATATTAAGATGTCAGAACAGCATGACTTAATCATTCCAAGCTATACAGGAAGATTTTGGCAACAAAGTTTCTGACCTTATGTAATTTATTAGAAGCAAATGGGGCAAAAGTGAGTTGTACTTAATAAATCTGTAACCCTTTATGTCTCTTACACACATTTTTGTTCACTTTTCTCAGGTGTAACCTTGCCAGTTTTTGAGCATTACCAGGAAGGAGGGGACAGTAAGTACAAAACAAGTATTTTTTAATCTTACAGGTACTTACAGTTATTCTATGCTAATACAAAAATAATTGTCATGTTGTGTCTTGCTGATAAGTCAGTGTACATCATAGGCACAGGTGTACTTGTTTCTTCTATACTTTGCCCTGTTCCCGTGACATGGAGTGGTTAGTAGGAACTATAGTGGATTTTAATCAGTGAGCTTTTCAGACGAGGAGAAGGCTTGTCTTGAATTACCAGGTTTTGAGACTGGTAGGTCTTAATGTGGACATGCACAACAATGATCTGTAGTAAGATAAACCAATATAAAGACAGTTTGTTAATGGGTTTAGCTTTAGCTTGTCACCTGCTGAACTGTCTGTATCCCTGCAGTTTGTAAAGTACTAATTTTTATCTAGTAAGAAAACACTGTAGTAGCAATAGTAACAACTATTATTTAATGATTTTTTTTTTTTTTTTTTTTTTTTTTCAGGCTATGAGCTGACTGGCTTGGCCAGAGGTGGCGAACAGCTGGCTAAGCTGAAGAGGAACTACGCCAAAGCTGTGGAGCTGCTTGTGGAACTGGCGTCCTTACAGGTTGGTGGAAGGGAAAAAAGAAGAGGATCATTGGTTTGAGTTGTTCTGAAATGAAAGTAATGTAGTCTCAGTGATTGTAGCTTAATGCTTTGAGCTGTACTATACTTCCTTAGTCCCAGTGCTGTACAAAGTTGCAAACCTTTTCCAGCCATGAAACAGTGTTATATTACCACTTCAACAGAAGTCCTTAACTCTAAGAAGAAACTTTCTTTGGGGAGTTGGTATTTGTGACTGCTGATGTGCAGTGTTCAGCGTGCTACTAACATCAAGTAGAAAAAAATTCTGCTTCTATGAGGAATGGAGCCTGTAAAGCTACAGTATCCACTTGGCTTTGGCTTTCAAGTACTATTTAGTTTTGTGTATAGAATTGATGGAAATGCTAAATTTGTCTTGTTCTGTATTAATTATTTAATCCCATTCCATCAGACATCCTTTATTACTTTGGATGAAGCCATTAAAATAACAAACAGACGTGTGAATGCAATTGAACACGGTGAGTATTTTTCCATTTGGGATACATAATATTTTTCTGTCTCCATGCAAGATGAGGAGCAGGGTCATGGCAACCACTCTTCTTTTGGACTGCTTTCTTGTTAGTAAGATTTCTAACCAGTTCAAGAACACTTCAGAAAGCATTACAATGAAGCATATTGCAAGTAAGAACAAAAATTAAAAGCTCAGGGGAATGGACTGGAGTACACAGAGATAAGTGAGAATGCAAACATGAGAAAGGAACCAGGAAATTGTATTGAGAACCTATCAAACAAAGATTTCACAAACACATTCTGGAGTCTCTGTTAGTGACTTTGACTTATTTGATCAAAGAAAAGAAATAGAAGACAACATGTTTCTAGGTGTTAGCTAGCATAATAGCTTTTAAAACTAATGGTGGTGTCCAGTGAAGAGCTAGTGACGTTTTTTTGTTGGTTTTGGATGGGATCACAGTGTAGACATCCAGAGAGAAATCTTGGTAACCTGTTCAGGTTTGTGTTACAGGAAACAAGCAGTTCTAATGTCAATACTCTGGTATTTTTCTTTTATCTGAATTCGTTATCCTTCAAGTTCTTGTTTGTAAATTTGTTTCTTGCAATTTCTTAAGTATTACCTATGCACAATATTGTTGTGACTCCTTTTGCTGCAGTATCCAGGGTGCTTTGATTATTTAAAATTCCCGAGTAGTTGATAGCTCAGATTTAATCATCTTTGCATGTACACAATAACTAATTTCAGTATGTGATTCTACACCATCCTTTTCAGTATTGTTTTACGTAACTTGTTCATTTGAACATGCAGGCATTATCTGCAGTTTATCATTCTGCATATTTGACTATAGAAAAGGTTTCCTCTGCAGCCTTCCAAATAACTTTGATAGTGCTGATAACAGCTTTCTCCTTTCAAAAAGTGATTCCGACACATAGCTTGCCCAGTTGGGTGTTAAAGCTTTGTTTAATGTCTTTACTCTTCCCTTGTGATGGTGTTACATTTGAATATTTGTTTTCATTATGTTTTTTTCAAACCAAGATCATAATTCTTTGACTAAAAGCGCTATATTGAACAGAAGCTTCTGAAAGAATGTAACAGAAGAACTTAGTTTTAATTCAAATCTTGCCCACTACTTAAAGGATTTTTTTTTAACCACTTACATGAGAAAAAAAAAAAAATCAATCAGGGATCAGTGCTTACTGGTTCCATTGCAGCTTTCAAAAGAACATGCTATGGGAGATTCTGTGATGTTCAGAGTCTTAGTTTAGTCCTGGACTTACTGAAGAGAACAAGTTTGTGTACTTGTCCATAATGAAGTAGTACGATCCTCCATGAAAGAGACGGAAATTTTCCCCAGCCAAAAGAATGACTAGATTGACTTCAAACAACCATCTGTGCACTGCATTAGATAACCTGGCTAATATAACAGCAGTCCAACGACTTATTTATATTTTTTAGTGATTATTCCCAGAATCGAGCGTACTCTTTCTTATATCATCACAGAACTGGATGAACGAGAACGAGAGGAATTCTACAGGTAAATATCTAAACCAGTACTAGACAGGTCTTCTTTTCTGAAATTGGCCATTCTTCAGAAGGGACTTAGAAGAACTATTCACCAAATCTGGCAGCAAACACTGTTAAATATGACCAGGTTCTTACTGCACCTCGAGTCTCCAGATCTGGGCAGCTGGAGATCTGCAATTACTTGTCTGAAAGTTACTAATAAATCCCTACCATGAGGTTGTACATAGCTGTCATTATCATTCTTCCAGAGGGAATGATGTGACACAGTACAAGGTGTTCTGCTTTAAGGACACACAGGTCTGTGTTCTGGGCCACCTGAAGCAAAAATGTCAAACCTGAAATGAATTAAAGGAGAATTAAACATGATGAAAGACAGGCAGAGTAGTATAATGCACTGTTTAAGGTCAAGAATGTAATTTATAGTTTAGATGAAGAAATCAGTTCATCTGGAGAGATTAAGTTTTTCAGTGGTAGCATAGTGACAAAAGCCTTTTGCCATTTGCTACAGGATTTTTGTTTCCAGCAGAACTTCTCCAGGCAGCTTTATCATACCTAAGTTGTATGTCATCTTTGCTGCTAGCCTGTTTTAGGAAAACATATTTGTTTCACAGATAAATCACATTTCCCTTCACAGGTTAAAGAAGATCCAGGAAAAGAAAAAAGTATTGAAAGAAAAATCTGAGAAAGAACGGCAGCTACGGAGGGCTGCTGGTGGGGAACGTGAACCAGCCAATCTCTTGGCAGAAGAGAAGGATGAAGACCTTCTCTTCGAATAAGCCAGCACAATTGTTGGATATGCAACAGGGGACCCAGAGTACAGAATGTCCAATTGCAGTATAATTCAGGACGTGTTGCCTCAATGATACTTACGTGGCTTCTCAGTTGGTGTATAAGTCTTGAGTTGAATGGATTGTGGATTTCTACTGGGAGATTAGAAATCTGGAACTTGACTGCAGCATAGGAAGAAAGGAGAGAGGCGTCAGGTGCTCTACTATCAGGAGCACCTTCTATTGCATGTTCAGCCTGTTTCTTCACTTAGTAGGAATGACTGTCCACGGCCCTGGTTTTTGCAGGATGGCTCTGCATTTGCCTAATCAGATTCCTTTTTAGTTGCTCCCCTTCCTAGAGCAAGCAGAGGAAAAATGTTATTGTGGGAGGGAGATGCATGTAATGTTCTTTACTGCTGAACTATTAATGTTCAAGTTGCTTAAAGCAGGTATTGACACAGCTGAAGTCAAATGTCAGTAAAGGCAACTCTAGTTTTCTAACCTGTTGATGAAATCCACAGTCTTCTGTGATTTATTTTGGTTGCACGATCATTACCATTGGCCTAAAACATCTACGGTTTTAATGAGACGTTCTGCCAACTTGTGTATTGTCTGTGCTAGAAACAAGTAAAAAATTTAAATGTTAAGTATCTGGTGTCTGGCTCAAGTTGCTAGAAGATGGGGGTCTTAAAAGCTTGTCATGCTGATTTAAAAATAAATCCTTCACTTCATCCCCTACCCCCAACCTAGAACCTGCACTGGGTAACATCTCTTTTCAGTAACCAAGGAGAAGCGGCTCCCTCCTGCCGCCAACACATAGAAACTCTTCTCAACTGCCCAGCTACACCTTGCTCCCGATCTTCATTGCAGGCAGTAGGCTGGCAGGCAAAGCAGGATTGAAGGTGCAGTAGTTCATCCCTGCTGTGATTCTTCATGTCCTAGGCTGAGCAGGGCAGTCCAGGAGAGGGGCCAATCACCGGCTGGCACTGAGTGTTCCTACAGACAGTGGTTTGCAATCAGCAAACTGAATGCATGCCATAGCAGTACTACTAGTACATTGTCTCTAGCACCACTAGTCTCTTCAGGGTAAGCATCTTGTTTTAAACGTGGTCCAGCACTTAACTGCAGATGCAGGGTAAGTGCAAGGAAATTATTTTCTATTAACAGCTTTAAAAAGTCATTATATAATTGTATGAAGCACAAGGCCATTTCTTCTCTCTTTTGCAACTGAAGACACAGCTAAATAAATCCATACTCTGTTGTAAGATACAGGTCCACCTTGAAAGAAACTGTAGATCTGAGGACATGTTGTTACCTCTCCCACTGGATGCATGGTGTCAGAAGGAACAGAGGACATCCTCTGGGGCACCAATGGGTCACAGCATCTTTCACACATTCAGCAAAATGGCTGAAAGAAGACTCCCAAGATCCACTACAAGAAGTGAAATTGTACAGTGATTTATTTAAAATCTAGAAATATTTACATTTTTACATTAGTGTGCAGTTCATGATGTCTCAAAATACAGAGTGCAGATACATGTATAAAAGTATAATGTGGGGCTAACCACAGGTCTCAGTAAAGTTACCTTAATTATTTAAGGCATTAAACCCCCCATCTTATATTTTAAAAAGTCGTATAATTACATTCACAAATTAATATTATGCACTTCAGCTAACATTTATTTTTAATTACATCTGGACTGGTAAAAATGCAGATACCCTCATTTCAGTCTGATACAGCTCACTACAAGGCCTGCAATAAGGTTGAAGAGTTTCACCAGTGAAGTTTGCATAGTCTCTTTTACTCTCAAGGGAATTAACACACATCCTTCATTAAAGAAGGCAGGATAGTCTCTTACAGAAGGTAGTTCCAGGTCTGAGCTGGCAGCAGATGGGCAGCCAGGTACGTTTCTCAGCGCTGCTCAAGCTTTTCCTTCCAGTAGGAGACAAAGCTAACATTGGTTATAAACTACCACAGCACCTCTCCACATGGATGCCAGTGAGTACTGTGTGCCTTGGGAATTAAGAGAGTAGAGCTGAACTTCAAGCAACATTCTTTACATCTACATTCAGAAGCTTACTTGTATAAAAACAGCTTCTGTACACCATTTGAGAAAAACTGGGGAGACAAACATTAGTCAAATACATTAATGGCGTGATTTACTGTGACTGACACTACCTAGGAACACTGAATGCCTAAGGGGCTTCAGCAACCATCTTGATTGTGACTGCAGGAATTTGGACAGTACCTATGTAGCTGAGCTCAGTTACCATTAATGAACACATTTTACTGCTTCCCACCTTCTTGTCCAGCTATGAAACAGTCAATACCAAAAAGCCTAATACATCTACAATCATCTTTCTTAAAAAAAGGGTAGACTCAATACAGTATTTTGTCATCTATGAAACACTGACTATCCAATATACCTGAACATTGTAGTTGTCATAAACTATGAATTAAACTGAGAACGTGCCTGCAATGTGAGGCAAAAAGCCATTATTTTGAATTATCTAGCCCTTAGGCCAACAGCTAGTATATTGCTATTTCTAACACTGAATTGAACTAAAGATATTAAAAAGTTTCCAACCCCCTTTCTTTTCTTCCTGAAGGGTTGTTACTTATCCGCACTAATTGCTTAATTGGTTTTTAACCCTACATACTAATTAAACCAAATAATTTTGCTTTCTAACAAGACAGGAATGCATCCTAAACTTCCATTTTTCAATACAAAAATGTACTGAATGTTAGTTCGCTAACTAGGATAGTTACCCGACAATTTCTTTGTATCTGCTGTATACTTTGAGCTCTCTATTTAACTATGGGTGTGAATTTGTTCCATTAACATTTGAAGAAAGAATATATGCGAGAGAATGGAAAAAATCAACTACGTTTTCATCCTTCAACATTAGACAGGAGTGAACTACACACATTGATGTAACTCCAGTGTTTTACCTGTAGCAACAACGAAACACGATGGCTAAAATCAAGAGATATTCACAGTTAGGGTTCTTTGTGCTACCCAAAACCAAAACAGCCAGGATACTACTGTTTAGTTAGCTTCAGCGGCAGATGCACAGCCTTAGTAGTTAAACCTTCACAGCTCAGAATCATTTGAGGATGCAGAGGTGTTCTGATCTGCTTTGCAGAACACACGGATACAGCCAGATCTCGCCTTTTCTTCAGCTGTTTCAAGTTTTTTGTTTGTTTTAACCATTAAAAATATTCCCCTTTCTTGTGACTTCTCAGTCAGTTACCAGTGTTTTACACATATTTTCACTGCAGTACTGAGCAAATGCAGGACAGTGTTCGCTAGTGAATTACAATACTCATTTAGAATGCAGTAGCTACATTCAGCTATTTTAATTCCAGTTAGTTATTCATTAAACCAACAGCCACATGATGAACCGTTTGCAGAGATTAAAAAAACCACTATCTTCCAATGTTCAGCACATCAGTCTATTTTAGTCAATAGTTTGTTATAAAACATGAGAACTTAAGTTGACTTTTAAGCAGCATGTCTTATAACTATATTTTTCACAAAAATATAACCTCTGCCTTTCTAAATATCTCTACAGATCTGTGGAAAACAGCAGCTCCAATCACTCAATATGTTTTAAAGAAAATTCCATAAAAATATCACATCTAAAAGATCAATATAATATTCATCTTTAATTGGACCTAAAATTAATGTGCAGTCAAATCTGATTTAAAAAGTCTGACTAAAAAGACACAAGGATTGAAATATTTACATTATACACATTTTCCAATTACAGTGCTATTAGAAAGTGGAATGTTTGAGAATTAAAATATTAAGCCTCACAGAGCAGCTCCAGACCAGAGCGGCATCTTCATTCTGTGCATTTTTTTTTTTTTGAACAGGAGAGATTTCTCATTAATAACAACCTTTTTCATGTGTAGATTATTTCTCTGCCCAATGATTTGTAAAATTACGCTCCTGAACTACCATCATGTCCCACAAAGTCATTAAGTTAAGAGTTATAAATATTAATGTTATTTAACAATGTGACAGCATGGACTGTATATACACACACATATATACTTCAAATCTTGCACTTAATAAGGGTGATTCTAGGTAAAAAAAGGTGGATTTATGTATAAAAGTAGTTGCTAGAAAAAAAATCCATCTAAAGCTTTAGAATTTAGTACTGAAAAGGTCTTAATTTCTAGATCACTGAGAAAGAAAACTTGAACACTTTAGATCAGTTAAACCGGCTCACAAGCTGATTAGTGTACTTTTTCAGTAATACGCAGTTTCACTGGCAAAGGATGCAGCCACTGAGGTCTAGAGCTCACACGCGTTTACACTAGAATTGGGCAGACCTACACACGATCTCCTTGGGAAGATTACTAGACTGAAGTCCACTTGTGCCTTGGAACTGCTCTCTCATCGTAGCCAGGTAGAGGGCACCCACTGAGGTTCTGTGTCAAGTTTGTTTATTAACCGAAGTAACTCTTGATACGCCTTATCAAGATCAGAATTCACAATTGCTGTATCAAAGTAGTGGCCATTGTTCTGTTCCATCTCCCTTGTCTTCTCTATGATTTCTCTCAGCTCTTCTGGCTGCAATCAAACACAAAATCAGTGTATGTGTGTAAGCCTCTCCCCTCAACAACAGAGTAGGGAAAGGTAACAACTCGACTCAGAAGTCTTTTACCCAAGTTTTTATGGTATTGCTACCAGCTGTTGAAAAGTTCACAATCACCTTGAATCATGATACATATTTGAAAGCTGAAGGCACTCAAGACAATCCTTTCTGATTGGCAATAAGTGGCAAACAGTAAATAACTGTCCCAGGCTGAAGTAAACAAAGAAGGTCTAGTACTGTTCATTTTCTGACATACATCTTACTGAGGCTCTTAAATCATGTTTCTGAAAAATGAGTTAAGTCACTAAGCCCATGATCCTTCTGAAAAAGACTGGAGATGGGAAAGGTAGTGTGAGAGTAAGTTTGAATGGTGTAGAACAAGACAACATTCCTCTGAAGATGCAGCACCACGAACACCAAAGAGCCAAAGGCAACAGCTACCACTGGTGAAAATAATAAACAGCAGGGAGAACCACAGTGAGAGCTATACATTTAAGCTGATTGAATCACCAATGCATCAGATAAATGACATTGTTCAAAAATGGAAAACACTATTTGGAACCTGAAAGGAAACATGTCAAAAGCAAGAATACCGTGGATGTAGATAAATGATGCGAAGGGAAAAGTAGGAATTGCTTGTCTTACTTCCGAATTTTTCACACTTGGATTCTAAATATGTCCTAAAAAGTGTTCTAAAAGTGTTTGTTTTTCTCTTTTGCAGCTTATTTTTGTATTATATAAAGGAATATCCAGGTATAATTTTTGAAATAACTTTCTAAGGAGGGTATTTTCAAAAGGGACTTCAGGTCTTCAATATTCTTTTTCTAAGTGTTATATTCACTTAAGAAAATCAAAGCCATATACAGGCACACATGCAAGAAATACCCTTTATCAGTGGAAGGGGTTTAACACAGTAGTGTTTACCCAAATGAAATAAATACAGCTCCAATACAATTAATCAGAAAGAAAACAGTATTAACAGTGTATTGATTTTTATTTTGTTGTATTGACTGCTGCAATAAAAAAACCCAGGACATAT